TTTTGATTCGACTCTATCTTCACAAAAAATAGCTTTATTGATGTAAAAAATGTTGTCACGAACATTTTAACTAACTGCAATCAGAACTGTAACTGAAGACCCAAAACACATTTGCTGACAAAAAGTAAAATAAAAAACCGTTATGTGGTCCAACTAACCCGAAATCTGCGGGATAGTTGAACCACCAATTTGGGACAGTTGGACCGCACAGGGAGAGATGAACCGTAACAAAGGATAAGGAACAAAATTAAACTCAATTAGTTTTCTAAATTTTTTAATAAAATAATAGGTTTTTTTGCGGCATTCATTCCACATATATAAGTTTGTACACGACTCATGAAACACCTTCAGCAACTCTTATGCTAAGATCTGAATGAGGGCTTAGCAAAAGATGTAGGGAGTCGTATTCTGCAATTTTTGTGATTGCGTTAAAACGATGCTTCAACGTTAACTGTTTAGCAACAGCAAACGTCTTATGTCGCATATCATTCCGTGTTGGGGCAAAACCAAATTTTTGCAGCTTTTTTACATGTGCCACTATCGTCGCTTCATTTTCTTCTCCTAGAGTAGACGAAGAACTCAATGAGCCAGTTTTTCAGTTTTCCGCACGGCTTTCTTGTAATTAGAGTAGCTTTGGGAATATTAAAGTGTCTGGCTGCGGCTTTGACCCCCAATGTTTTTGTATCTATAGTTTTTACAACATTTTTGGGGTCTTCTTCGGTCCATCTCGTTCTTAGTGAGCCCAACTTCCGTTGGTATTTTGTAGGCATTGTATAAAACAGGAAAATAAAAACCGGTTCAACTGTCCCGATTTACTCTGGTCCATCTATCGCAAATTTCAGGGATAGACGGACCACCCAAAAACGAAAAATCTATTTATTAATCGGCTTTTACATCATTTACGTTGTCCTGAATGAATACCATGCAATGCATTTTTAACCACAAATAGCGTTTTAAAACTGTCTTTTAGTTAGAATCGCACCTTCAAAATACCGTTAAAAAATGTCTACCATTTGTAAATGCAGAAACAAATAAAGCCACTCTCGAGAATTAACTACACACAAAGCTACTATCGGAGTGCGACTGGTAGTCGTTTGTTGACGGGGGAGCGTTGAAATGTTCTTCATATWCCATGTACAGTCGAAAATACCCCACTGGTCCATATCAGGCGGTKGTTCATCTCTCCCGCAATTACCCTACTTCAAAAGGTTCAAAGTAGGACTTGTAAATGTATCTGCATCTTTCAGACTTTGGTCCCCAATTGCGAATAGCTTTTGGTAGGTTGCTCACATTCCCCTTAAACCACTGGAGTATTTTCGTTCAATTTGCCCGTTCCCAGAACTAATCCCGTTACACTTGCCACTAAAAGGATTAAGAATGGCCCAATTTAGGAGCTCGGGCGAGATCTGTTTGCAGATCGGATCTGTCACCGTATGTCAAGCGCGCGAGCTCCCACGCCATGCATTATGCATGCGGCCCTCATTCATTGTCCGATGGTCTTTTCTCCGTGTATTATTGGGCTTATCAGTCGCTTTATTTCATTTCCGAATACCTTGGAGAATTCCTTGTTATTGCGCCCGGAAAATCAGCCACATCACACACACATGCACCGTCCATTTGTCCACAATTGAATCATCTACGTTACGTGTTTCAGGGGGTTTTCTGCCCAATTTCGCCCACAACTGCGACGTTTGAACCCAGTATGGTAGGAGCCACAGTCCACAAGGTAATTTTCCTTTGTTTACATTTTTGGACAGTGACATTTAGGTTAGAACTTGTCAACAGAAGCAAATGAATGTCATAGACTGACTGCGTCAAGGAAATTTTGACAGTACCTACTAAACTGACAGTTAAAATTTAGTTGACACAAACCAGTCGAGACCAGCCGAAAACCAGTGATTTTGCAAAATTCTATCGCAGTTTTCCCTATCGGCAGCGCCCCTAAACTGAATAGGTTGAATGTAATTAACGGGGGAGAAGAGAACGAAAAAATGCCGTTCCCCAATATTTGCTCTTTGGGGGCGAATCCCCCTGTTGCGCTCGAGGCGTTGCCTCGCTTAGCGACGTCCGTTCGGGCGCAGGCTCGGGGGGTATCGAACGGCGCTGCCTTCAGGGCGGCCGGCCCCCCCGGTATCCACCCTACGTGGCCCCCCTGGAGCCGCTCGGGGGCCCCCGCAATGAGGGCAAGATCGTACAGTGACGGCTTTTAGCTGCCAGGATCCTTTCGATGGAATCACAACGTTTGAATCTTTGCCCTTAAAACTCACGTTTTAACGCAGTTACTTCATAACCCCACTTCACAACATCAGTCTTCAGTACTATGACATCTGTCATGTCAACTAAAATGATGATTGGAGTGCGCCCACTCAGTCAGTGGTAAATCAACCAATTAGGAAGCCGCATGAAGCGGTGGAAGAAGTGCGCCCAGAGGGCGATTCATGCACCCGAACGGCGCCCACGGGGGTTCACGAATTTTTGCAATCGGTGAGAACATTTTTTTGATGGGAAAAAGCACCGTGTTGCGTGCATTCGTGGGAGAGCGGCCGATTCGGGGGCGCTTTGGGCCGTTCGTCCTCATAATTGCGCCCGGCTTATGCACTATTCATGAACCTCCCGATGCCACCTGAACGCCGCAATCTTCGATTTTCACTGTTATTAGGTGCGGCCGATGCACGCCACTGAACCATACGGTTTCATACCGGTTGGCCCAAGCAAAAAAATCAAAGCCAAAGAGTAGAAACAATGCGGCACGGATTAATCGAATGTCCCTCGACCAGTCATTACTCATTCGGTGATTACAGTGCAACACACACACATGTGGTCTTTATCGCAATTTCACGGTAAACTACCCTCTCGAAAGGGCGCAAATTAGGGTGGTATAATGACACCGTTGCGCCCCCTCATTGATAAACAACGATGTCACCCTCGGCTCTCGTGCGGGTCCATTGAGACCGCAATTTTATTCGGATGAATTCATATTTAATAGACTGAGGACGGTGAGCAACGTTTCGCTTACTAGTGGCTCATGGCACAACTGAATGCTTGCGACGTTGCCTTGACACTTATTCAAAGCATTGCCTATACACGACGCGCCATTCCTATGAGGGAGTACAGGGAAAATGATAAAAAATAGATATTTTGACAAAACACTAGTGTCTAGGCCTTTGTCCACTCTGTCTAATGCTAACCTAATTATCCTGTGGACACTTTGCAAAATCTAGTTGGTTTGTCATTGGCAAAAAATATGTGGAATGTCAAAGTGTTGTCATTCCATTGTCAAAGTCTAAATTGTGACATGGGTGTCCATAATGGTATGCACCCGTCTACAGGGCATTAATTGCCTCGGGGCTCCCCGAATAATTATTAAAACATCTAACGACTCGAGCGGTGGTTTTTTATGGGACAGATGGGTTACGCCCCCAATGAATATTGATAAGCCGGGCAAACTACACCGAAATTTATCATTATATGGGCCCGTACGCTCTTCTCGAATACATTATTCAAATGCGAGCTAATTTTTTTCTTCCCTCGAAATTGCTTTTTACGTGTGGGTGGACGCCAATATTACCTCAACTCTCCAGTCAACTTCCTGGACGTTTTCACTTCACTCCTAATCGATCGCTTACTTCATTCGTCCCGATAATGACGTGCTAAACGAATCGTTTGCTCAGCTTGGCAGAGTGTAATTGAAAAAAATAACGGCCTGTCGTTAACTCGACCGAAGATATACAGCCGGTAATCAAGCAACCTAATGCCACTATTGCCCATTATGATTTTATGGGCTGTTTTAAATGTTCCGGCGCTTTGCCCTTGAATGCTGAACACTCCTCAGGTGCTTGACTGGAGGGCCATTTGAACGAATTTTAGCTCGAATCTCCAGCGGCAAGGACTAGCTTGGCGCAATTTTAGGCCAATAGAGCATTCAAAACTCTTGCATCCGCCCAAGGCGAATAACATCGACAACAATCTATTTGAAACTAATGGGTTTTTCGGGTTTTTACGGCCTCGTTCGGTAGAATTTCTTGTTGACGTTTCGCAAGCACGAGTGGCTTGCATCTTCAGAAGTGGTTTGCTTGAACGCTTACACTGTTCTCATCAGA